GGGTAGTTCAGTCAGTTGGGCGTCTGACTTTGGCTGAAGTCATGACCTCATGATCTGTGAATTTGAGCCCTGTGTTGGGCTCTGTGCTGAAAGCTCAGAGCCTGGAGCCTGCTTCGTATTCTGTGTCTCCCTCTCTCTGCCCCTCCCCTGCTCATGCTCTGTCTCTGTCTCTCAAAAATAAACATTAAAAAAAAAAAAAAAAGACTAGACATGGTCAAGTTGATATTTCACCAGTTACAGGGTCTGTGGTAAACAATAAATTTACTGTGGAGCGCCTGGATGGTTTAATTGGTTAAGCAACCGACTCCTGATTATGGCTCACATCATGATCTCACAGTTTGTGAGACTGAACCCTGTTGGGCTCTGTGTTGACAGCGTGGAGCCTGCTTGGGATTATCTATCTCCCTCTCTCTCTGCTTCTCCTTCTCTCTCTCTCTCTCTCTCTCTCTCTCAAAATAAATAAACATTTTTAAAAATTTAATAAATTTACTGTGATGCAAGAGCCTTATTGAGCAACTATTTTTGTGCTAGGCACTTGTGCATATGGAAAGGTCTGGCTGATTCCTGGGAAGTTGCAAATTAGAACTGGAAATAAACAGAAAAGAATGAAAAGAAAGCATGGGAAATTTAGTCTTTCTTCCTTTTCCCAAATTTGGGGGAAAAAAAAATCTCTAATAAGCTATCACAATGTATTTTTCTCTATTAGGAACAAAGGTCAAATCAAAATACAAATAAACCTCCTTTCACAGAGTTACCATTTGAAATACTCTGAAGAAGTGCGAGAACCTCCAGGGAAGCACCCGTGGAAGTGACAGACTACATGGTAGAGTTGTAAGGAAAATGATTTGTCTCCATTGAGACTTAACACAGGAACGATAACAATAATAAAAAATTGTGAGAAGAGTCTCTGAGAATAAATTTATAACTGACAGAAGGGCCTGAAAGCCACCCAAATGGCATACTAAGAGACACAGTAGGATATTTTTTCATGGGAGAGTTTTAAGAAAAGAGTATTATCGCCTTCCAATTATGGCCATGTCGATTCTCCCCAAAGGCATGTGCACTTGAAACCCCTCCTGGCCCCGTAAGAGAAGATTCTATGGTACTGATGAGATTGTGTGCATTAGAATCACTTCTCCTGGAAAGGAGACGCTAAAGGGTACTCGAATAAAATATTAAAAATTATGAAGGACATAACAAAGGCCAATCAGTCCTTTCTTTTCCCCAGACCCCATAATATGAGAACAAGGGTTATTTGATGAAATTAAAGAGTAGCAAATTAAGTGCTAATAAAATGAGATAGTCACTTATATAATTCATTACCATGGGAGGTCACAGAGGCAAATTCTGTGGCTGGATTAAATATGGGGCCAGATAATTTTATGACCACTAATGATATTTTTAACAGTGGAGGCTGATACTGCAAGAGAAGTCATCCTATTACATTCTCCAGTAGGTGGTTTGCAGGGACCTCTGGCCAGTGATGTCTGTGAAGTATGAGAGCAGGCCTTGTGGGTTCTAACCTTTGGTGGGGAATATTACTAAAAATTAGTTTTTAAGGTGGATATCCTCAGGTATTCCATGCATGCCTCAATCCCAACTTCTCTTGTGGAGATCCACAAGTTCCTTTATTGGAAACAGCTGGGGTGCAAAGTTCCATTATACAAGATGAGTAAGTTCCAGAGATCTAGTGTACGGTAATGTGACCATTGTTAACAATACTTTATCGTGTGCTTGAAATCTGCCCAGAGAGCAGATATTAATTGTTCTCAGCACACACAAAAAAGGGAAAAAGAGAAAATGGTGTGAAGTGATAGATAGGTTAATCAGCTTGATTGTGGTGATTATTTCGCAGTGCATATGTATATCAAAACACCAAGATGTGTATCTTAAACATACACAATTTTTATTTGTCAGTTATACCTCAATAAAGTGGTGGGGGGGAAAAGTAAACGCTCATTTTGTTTTAAAGCAGCTGGGAAAGGTGTTGCTCAGAATTCGATCATGGCTGGTGTCGGGGAACCGTTCGGCTTATTTATTGAATGCCGCCCATGTGTCAGGCACTTGGCTTGGAGTTTTAAAAATCTGTGGGGAATGTGAACATTTCGGCAAATCAGTGTATTCAGAATGAAGGGGTCTGCGCTAACGGTAGACTAGAGAGTAGCCTTAAGTGCAAAGAAACAAGGGCGTAGCTCAACTGGTTCGGAGAAGGTTCACAGAGAAGGTAGCATGCGAACTGAGTCCTAAAGGTTGGGTAGGAGTTCACTGTGTTGGCAAGATAATGAAGGGCAGAAGGAGCAGACAGCGTGCACGGGTCCAGAGACAGAACGTGACAGGCTTGCCAGTGAACTGATAGTTTAGAAACGCTGTACCATAGGGTTGGAGGCGCAGAGAGGGAGAAGAGGGTCATATGAGGACAGAGGCAGCCAGGCGGTGGAGCGTCCTGGACCTCTCTCCAGTAGCAGTGCTTCCATTGGTGGTAGTGGTAGAGGAGAGGTGGGGAGGGGCTTCCAGAAGTGTCACATGACTGATAAAGGATGGCCCCTCAAAGCCTTGCCCCACCAGCATAGGCTTCCCTCTTTTTTTTTTTTTTTTTCAACGTTTATTTATTTTTGGGACAGAGAGAGACAGAGCATGAACAGGGGAGGGGCAGGGAGAGGGAGACACAGAATCGGAAACAGGCTCCAGGCTCTGAGCCATCAGCCCAGAGCCTGACGCGGGGCTCGAACTCACGGACCGCGAGATCGTGACCTGGCTGAAGCCGGACGCTTAACCGACTGCGCCACCCAGGCGCCCCTAGGCTTCCCTCTTTTGGCCACTGACAACAGTGGCTTGGTGGTGAGCCTTGTATTTCACACAACTCTTTGCCTCATTGGTTTTACTATCTGCCTGAAACGATCTTTACCACAAACCTAATCACCGTTACTAGTTTTTGTTTTTGTTTTTTTAAGAATCTCCCCTGTCTTTGGGTATAGAGGGGTTCTTATAGGTCTTATGATTAGGATGAGTCTGATGTGTCTGTCTGGTCTTATTTCTTTGGGCTTTACGTAGAACCCATCTCTGTGTAGGGAAGAAGAGGCAGATTTCATTTGCTTGACCTTAGACTCCCATTTTCTCTGTGATGTTGGCTCAGTAGACAAGCAGGAAAACACACAGTGTCTCTGAGGAGCAGATGGAGTGAAATGTTAAAAATCTGTTTTGTTAAATGATTTCAGCTAACAAAATAGTTTAATTGAAAAAAAAAGCACCCAGACTCTGCTCTTTATTCAGTGATATTTAAATAAATATATCATTATTAATCACTCAAACTCTCACTTCGAATTTCTACAACATTAATATTGATAAGAGGAATCAATTGGAAATGAGAGAATTTTTTTTTTGTAGAAACGTGGTCTTATCTCTGTGGTAGATGCAAATACTTTATTATTATTATTTGTGTTGTTATGTAGTGCAGTATGCAATCAGCGGTTTTCCCCATCACATTGTAGAGAATTGTGTACCGTAGTCCCCTCTTATCCATGGAGAATATGTTCCAAGACCACCCCTAGTCGATGCCTGAAACTGTGGACAGTGTTTGACCCTACATATATACCATATTTTTTCCTATACATATACACCTATGAGAATTTTTAATTTATAAATTAGGTACAGTAAGAGATTAACGGCAATAAGTAATAGTAAAATAGAACAATTATGACAATATGCTATAATACAAGTCATGTGAATGTGGTCTCTCTCAGAATATTTTATTGTACTGTAGTCACCCTAGTGATGATGTGAGATGATAAAATACCTATCTGATGAGAGGAAATGAGGTGAATGATGCAGACATTGTGAGCTAGCGTTAGGCTACTATTGACCTTCTGATACCTCAGGAGGAGGATCTTCGGTTTTTGGACTGCAGTTGACCACAGGTAACTGATACTGCAGGAAGCAAAATCACGGATAATTGGGACATATTTCCTAATGAATAACCTTTCCCACTGTGTTTTTTTTAAAGCCTCTTCTAAGAAGAAGTTGCTGGAGGGATATAAAAATGAAGTTATTTATAGAAGGTAGAAGATGCTGGAGGGATATAAAAGTGAGGTTATTTGCAGAAGGTAAATGGGTGTGTGCTCAATTTACTCTAAGGTCACCTCTGTTATACAGAGTGCTGGTGGATAAAAGTGAAATGCATGTACACCACCCTGTGTTTGGTGTTAGATACTCAAAGATAAGATCATGACTCACAGTACAGTGAGCATAGGAGACCATTTTACCATGACTCCTGGCTGAACTAAATACAAGTTGTACAGTACAGCTGTATACAAAATGTTAGCTCTATCTGAGGAGCTTGGCAGTGTTTTCACCAAAGCTAACATGTAGGCTGGGTTCAAAATAGAAGTTACAGTTAACTAAGATGGAGGGTAGGATCGAGGTAGGAAAGAGCATTTCAAAACCGAAGCAATAGAGATGTCTCCCAGACTTTTGAACACCTTGTTTCTTTCTTTCCCTTTTTGAAACTTCTGTTCTATCAATGTTGTAATTTCTAATACGTTTTGAAATAGTCTCCTTTGAGGAAAGAATGGGATATATCATATCAGCCTCTAGTAGAGACTAATCTTGTCAGTAGGGGGTAGTGATCAAGGGTTCCTTTAAGCCCCAACATTAATTCACTAGGCAGTTTATTAATCATTTGTTCTCCTGGACGGGGCACTTACAAATAAGTCTTTGCCGTCAGATGTGAGGCACATGGCAGGAGTAATGTAACATTTTCCTCTGTTAGATATGTCTGTGTAACGAATCAATACAAGTTCTTCCGGTTCCTCCTGTACTTGATTTTACATGAAGTATGCCTTTTCATGACCAAGCTTCTTTCAACAAGGCTATTGATTTGTAATTGTGCAAAAAAGAAACAGAAGCTTTATAAGAGCTTCGATGCAAAATGATATATCCTTCCAAGGACTGCGTGAAAATAGGTGAATATATTTGATAAAGAAGTGTTCTTCTTTCCCCTTTAGACCTTAGCTGGATCTCCAAAATACAAGTGAATCAACCAGCAGTTCTGAGGCGTGCAGAGCAAATCCAGGCTCGCAGAATGGTGAAAAAGGAGTGGCAAGTAAGGTTTCTTCTTGAGCATTCTATTCCTGTAGTTTAGAATGCCTGGTCTCTTCCCTCAAGGCCACAATATTGAATTTTGCTCAAGATGCATCTAAACTTAAAAGATTGCAGCTGTCCATGACTTATTTTAATAATTCATATATGATGATGATGGGTTGGAGAAAGATAACACATTTATCCGAACAAGTTAAACATCTTACCACTCTTGAGTGGCAAAGCCGCAAATGAATTTGAGGCATCTTTATTCATGAGTGAATTAAATGGCGTATTTCCTCAACACATTTATTCAGTTCCTTAGACATACCTTCTTTGGTTGTCTTCTATTTTAATTTTTAAACCATAACGTCTAAACCTGGTGTGCCTGCTGTTGAGGCCCTTAGGCATAAAAGTTGACCTTCTTTGACCACCGTGTTTACCTTACTATTAATTTTCATAAATCATTTTCCAAAATTCAAAAAGTGATGTTTCATGGGGTGCTTGTGGTCAGCATATCCTTCAGTGGATACTGACCAAAGATGTGCTGTGGATCACAGGACTAGAAGGAATTCAGAATTCATTTCTCAAGTGAGGCAAAATATTGCCATTGAATCCTTTAGGGTGACATTTCTCATTTGACTCATCCTTGGAAATATTCTAATTGAAAGATAAAAGGAAATTCATTAGAATGAATTACAAACTATGAATATTGTTTTAAAAATGGGGTTGGGATACAGTGAAAAAAAAAACAGCAAAGAAATTGGAGACTTCTTTTTTAATGTCTCATCCTAGCTCTCAAGTGTGGAGGTAAAAATATCAGTTAGAGATCCTCTTATTCCCAAGTTCTCTCATATCATGGTAGCCATCAGGACTCCTGGTGGATAAGATGGGGAGGTGTGATGTGGGGAGGCTTGCTCTATTAGGGATTTCACTTTGAGATAGCTACGGAAGGAAAATAGTTTTAAGACTACTCTGTACCCCTCTTTTATTTTGTTCTCTGCAGTGTTCATCTTTTTGGTCCCTTTTGAGCAATGTCTATATCATATAGAGAATGACATGCCTGAGAACAGTGTAGATGTCAGATTTTAGCACAAATGTTTGTCTAATGATTTCCTGCTAACTAACTGGGTTGTTGACGATTTTTTTTTTTTTTTTAATCTTGTTTTTACTTTTCTTACACCAGGCTGCTTGGCTCCTGAAAGCTGTTACCTTTATAGATCTTACTACACTCTCAGGTGATGACACATCTTCCAACGTTCAAAGGCTTTGTTATAAAGCCAAGTATCCAATCCGGGAAGATCTCTTGAAAGCTTTAAATGTGCATGATAAAGGTAATGTTGTTGTGTATAATCTGTCTGTGTTTACCCCTTTACAGTAAGTACTAATTACTAAATCTAAGAGGACTTAAGACAAGATTCAGCTGCTTAAATGATAATAGCAGTAAGATCCACTGGTAGATTTGTGTACATAGCAAATAATTGAGATTCTTCTCTAAAAAACAGCAGGGGGAGAATCTGAATCTCTTTTTTAGGTCAGTTCTTCCCATCATGGATTAAAGTTGCTGGTAGAGAGTTTCTTTATTTTTCTTTCTACTTCTTCAGTGTGGGAAATTTTCCATCTAGTGACTCTAAAATACTGATTCTCATTCCCTAGCCACATGTGCAAAAGCCAGTCTCATTACTTAATAATCACATCTCATACATAAAGTATTTTCTGTGAGTAAATGAAATGCTTTTGAGAATAAAATGCAAATGGGGAATATTGCATGCTCGTATATTAGGTTAGATCTTTTGAAAAAAGTTATATTCACTCTCTTGGTATACATGAAAGAAAGGACTTTCTAAAGTTGCCGTAAGTTTAGAATGTTAACATTTTAGGAAAGGAGGAGACCTTTCTTTGAGAGTTGATCCTCTGTATCTAAATGAGGAAACCGAGATCTGGAAGGCTAACAGCATTTCCGGGATGATGTGCGTATCACTCACTGGGCTGGTTTTAGGAGCTCTTCATGGAGAGTTGCTTCATGATCCCCGAGTGCCTGTCTGTAATGAATGCAGCTAGAGATGCTGCTTTGGTCCAATGCTGGTGTTTTATCCCAAGTAATTTGTAGATAATTTGTAGACCTATAACGCCACAGCTTTTGAAAAATATTTATGTTTCTTTTGAGTTGACAATAAAAACACCACCTGTTTGTAGGTGTTGTTATACAAAGTTATTAAAAGTAACAGCCTTGAGGGAGGGGCTGAAAAAAGTAACAACTTCATATGAGTCTTACGCTCTTGTTTTGTTTTATATTGGCTATTTGATTTTTATTTGATTTTTTTTTAGATTTAAGAGCTTATTCTTCCAAATAAGGGCTCCAGATTCAGATTTTATTATTTCTTGCAACAGAGGGAATAGGATCAATTAAATGTCATTTTGCTATATTACCTTGTAAGGTTCACGTCCATTTTTTTTTCCATTCACTGTCTGTTTGATGTAGAAATCTGGATTTTGTTATCTACATGAAATAAAATAATGTCACTGAGTCAAGACCATTATGTTTACCATTTAGGAATTTTTAAAAAGTGGTATTATATTATCCTCAAAGAGTAGCATCATGATTGTTTTATTCCATGACTTTAACAGTTAGAAAATGACCCATATTGTCAAGACCTGGAAGGGAATGTGGAGAGTCAAAGCTTTTTCTTTATTAAAATTTTTTTTAATGTTTATTTATTCTTGAGAGAGAGAGAGATCAGGGGAGGGGCAGAGAGAGAGGGGGACACAGAATCCAAGCAGGCTCCAGGCTGTGAGCTGTCAGCACAGAGCACGACGCGGGGCTTGAACCCACGAACCGTGAGATCATGACCTGAGCCGAAGTCAGATGCTTAACCAACTGAGCCACCCAGGCGCCCCTAAAACTTTTTCATTCAGTGCAGCGTCATGGGGGAGTTATTTTTCCTGCCATTTTGATTTCTGCCAGTGTGGTGGTATAAATAATAATTAAAAGCATATTGTACAAATTGAACTTCCGCTAAAGTAGGCTGTTATGATTTCTTTCTTCATAGGCCTTACTACAGCTGCTGTTTGTGTTTATCCCGCACGAGTGTGTGATGCTGTGAAAGCACTGAAGGCAGCCGGCTCCACCATCCCAGTGGCTTCGGGTAAAATTGTTTTGGCTTTGCTGTTGTCTCTCAACCTGTTTCCGGTTCTTCACCTCAAAACACCTGGAGGCTTTATATATAATTTTATATTATTTTAATTAGTTTTATCTATTTAATTATTTGTTTTTACTCATTGTCTCAGTATCTGATTGCCTGCTAAGTCGCTGACCATGTGAATTCCCAAGAATACAGAAGCGTTTCCCTGTCCTTAAGGAAACTTAGTTGTTTAGGAGGAATAATCAAGTTTAAAACATCATCATGCAGGATATATAGTATTATATGTATGCAAAATATGCTAATAGAGATATGCAGAAGCTACACTTGTAATTCTGAGCAGGGAGTGATTTATTTTGCAGAGGTTGGTGACAGAGAGTAAGGGGATTCTTCATAGAGGAGCTAATAGCTGCATAGGGTCTTAAAGGGTAAGGAGGCGTGTTGGTGAGTTAGCGAATGATTTTAGACAGAGGAACTAGCGTGTGTGAAGGCACAGGAGTGTGTTCAGGGAACTGTACGTGGCTTGCAGTTGTTGGGTCTAAATTGGGGCAAGGGGGCAAGGGGCTCTGGGAGTTGAAGCTGGAGAGGTAGATCAGGGCCGGATCCCATAGGGAAACTAGGCTTGGCAGTGGCCTTTGGGCTCATTCTGGTGATGGGGAAGATACTGCAAGGTTTTGAGAAGAGGTTATGTCATGATCAGCTTTATGCTGTAGTGGGTCAGGAGATGGTACTGGACACATTAAGGAGGGGTGACAAGATGTTAGGGGGACTTATCACAGTCCCTGTGGGAGGTGAGGAGAGCCTCTCCAAAGCCTGGGAGATAAAGTAGAGAGGGTATGTTCAGGAGTTATTGGCTTAAGAGAGACTCAGTAGGACTTGGCATGAAGGAAAGAAGAGTCTTAAAAGCTTCTGTGTAGCTGTGTGTGAGTATATGGATGGACAGATATAAAGTTAGATTGTACTTTTAGAAGATGTTAAGAGGAATATCCTGGGGCCTTGAAAAAGGAGTCTAAAAAGATGATTAATTTATTTTATTAGGGACACATCAAAAGAAACATAGTATACAGTATTGATATACAAGCCATTTGTGAGGATTCCCACAGTATTTGGCAGCTGCCTTAATTTTTCATCAGCTTCTGTCAATTCAGCTTTTCTTTTATACAACAGGGAAACGTGCTCTCCTGTAAGATAGCAGACCCAAGGAATTTAATAACATCAAGGAAATACAAAAGGTTATCTTTAGTCATAGAAATGGAATTAATGATGCACGTGTAAAAAATATAATAGGTTTTCAGAAGTGTGGCTGTATTTTCTTTTCGTTTTTGTTTTTTGTTTTTTTTTGTACTTGGTCCTGTTCTTCCCACCTCACCCCTGTCCCAATTTTGTGGACAAATTAGGTACTTTTCCCTCCTGCTGTCTCTTCCCTCTATTCTCATCTGCTTGGCTATTCATTTTAAGATAGGCAGTGGGAAAAACCTATACTGCAATTTGGTTACCACAGCTGTAAGTGTGAGTGAGTAAATCAAGAATACAATGATAGCCAACTTGATTAGGAGTAGGATCCATAGTTAACCAGGGTCCATCAAGATAGAGCTATAGCTACTGTTTTATGACTCGGTGTGATGATAACATATTTTCTTAGTATCTATTTACTTAGAGCCCCCTCATGAGCATCACTGCAGCAACTTACTTTCAGGTTTTCCAGACGATGCAATACTAATATTTATCCTAACACCAATAACACCATATGAGATGACCTTCTATTTCTTCACACTTCACTTTGCAACATAAGCGTGAAGCTCTTTAGTGTCATTAATGCTTTAGTCTAAATGCTGTTTGTTGTTGTTTTTTGTGTTTTTGTATCAAATTCCTTGTTGAGAAACCAACTAAAATTTGTCTTCTTTCCTTCCTCCCTTCCTTCCTTTTTTCCTCCCTTCCCTCTCTCTTTGCTTCCTTCCTTCCTCCCTCCCTCCCTTCCTTACTTCTTTTTCCCTCTCTTTACTAGTGGCCACTGGCTTTCCAGCTGGACAGACTCATTTAAAAACACGATTGGAAGAGATCAGATTGGCTGTGGAAGATGGAGCTACGGAAATTGATGTGGTAATTAACAGGACCTTGGTGCTGACAGGCCAGTGGGAAGGTATGTGCAAGTCCTTACCTAAGAGGGAGGCCTAGTTCTGTCCTAGTGAATGAAATGGAGACGATTGGAAAAGAGGCAACATGTTTTGGAAGTCATTGTTCTAGATTACAAGTCACTAGATCAGAAGGCGAATTTCAGAGAAAACACGGCTGGTATTGCTCATCCTTGTTCCCCTCACAAATCCTAGACAGTTGCCCACCTATGTGAACTTTTTAGATCCCTTTGAGTGCTTAGGTGAGTGGTTATTTCTATGCAGTAGACTGTTAACTTTTATTCTGTCCTCCAGTATTTTATTACTCAATACATAAATCACTCTAGGCAAGTCATTTATGCAGAGTTTAATATGTGGAGGAAACTTCCCTTTTTTATGTTAATCTTTGTGGATTTTGTGGAGGTGGGATTAGTAGTAAGTCTGCGAAGTCTGCTTTATTCCTGCTATTCTTACACATAGTTCCTAGGGGTTATTATATTTACCTTTGAGATTCATAATTTACTATCGCACCAATTAAGAAAAACATTACCCATTTCAATAACAAACTTTTTATAATTAAATATTAAAAAATAGATTTGACCTGTGCCTTAAATATATTTTGTATACTAGAGATGGTTGATAGCTAAAATAAGTACAATTTTCTATTTCAAAAGAATCATAAAAGTAGTTCAACTAAAAATTTTTTTAAAGCTTTTTTTTTTTTTTTAAGTTTATCTATCTTGAGAGAGACAGGGATAGCGCACAAACAGGGGAAGGGCAGAAAGAGAAGAAGAGAGAGAGAGAATCCCAAGCGGGCTCTGCACTGTCAGTACTGAGCCCGACACGGGGCTCCAACTCATGAACCATGAGATCACGACCTGAACTGTAGTCAAGAGTCAGATCCTTAATCAACAAAGCTACCCAGGCGTCCTGCAACTGACACCCTTTTTCAAAGTTTAAGTAAACAGTAGGATTATATTTAATGTATTTTTTCTTAACCTACTTATTGGACTTGCCAGTATCTCATGGATATCTTTCTGTGAGTCTTTAAAAAAAATTTTTTTTTGATGTGTATTTATTTTTGGGAGGGAGACAAAATGCAAACAGGGGAGGGGAAGAGAGAGAAGGAGACACGGAATCTAAAACAGGCTCTAGGCTCTGAGCTGTCAGCACAGAGCCTGACATGGGGCTCGAACTCATGAACCGTGAGATCATGACCTGAGCCAAGTTGAACACTTAACTGACTGGGCCACCCAGGTACTCTTCTTTCTCTCCGTCAGTCCATCTAACTTAACATCTATAAATCCTTTTTTTTTTTTTTAAATGTTTATGTATTTGTGTGTGTGTGTGAGAAAGAGAGAGAGAGCATGAGCAGGGGAGGGGCAGAGAGAGAGAGAGAGAGACACAGAATCTGAAGCAGGCCCCAGGCTCTGAGCTGTTAGCACAGAGCCTGATGCGGGTCCAAAATCTGCAAACTGTGAGATCACGACCTGAGCCAAAGTCGGACGCTTAACCAACTGAGCCACCCAGGTGCCCCTAACATCCATAAATCCTAATTCCATTGTTTATTCATTAAGAATTGCTTTTGGTTATGGAGTAGGCAAAGATTCAGTCAGTAGTTTAAATACTTCAGGATTTATTTTCTTATACAAAGTCTAGAGGTAGGTATTTCAGGGGTGACCTATGCTACTTTTTTCTTCTACTTCCAAAGTGTGTGGCTTCTGCTGTCATGCTTAAGGGCACGCCATTCTCTAAGATGGCTTCTGAAGCTCCTGGCTTTCCACTCATTTCCTAGATAATAGGAAAGAAGGGCTGTCCTATCCTAAAAATCTCATACAACATTTTTGCTTACACCTCCATGGCTCAAACTGAGTCAGTGGCCATCTTGGCTGCAAGTGAAGCCGGGAAAATGTAGTCTTTTAGCTTAGAATATTAACATTCCCAATAAGTTAGATGGTGTACATTTCTGTGCCCAGACGGAAAGGACTGAGGGAAGTTCTGGCAGAGAAGGACAGTTTAGCCGTATGGAGCTAAACGGGGTCTGACAGTAAAAGGCTTAACAGCAAAGGGCCAGGTGAAACAACAGTAACACAAATATTTAAATAAAAAGATACATGAAGTCAAAAGGCACAGTGCCATTAGCTGTGGGGCAGGTCATCTCAGAGATCTTAGCAGCACTGAGAGTATCACTGTGATGCAGTCACTGATACCACAGTTCTGAATGATCTAGAACAAATGTTAAAGCCATTCCTATTGCCTTGTACTCCCAACTATACTTCATCAACATTTTTAATCCTTGCCAGGTTTAAATTCTTGACAGTTCACAAATATCTTTTTGTGCTTTTGATTTTTGTTCCTTTTCCTATGGTTCATGTGAGCTTTGACCAATTGCAAACATTTTTTTTAAGTTCTTTTTTTTTTTT